TCATATTGAGGTCCCGTAAAGCTCAATAGTGTGGGTCGTGTTGAGGTCCCGGAAAGCTCAACATTGTAAAGGATCGGTACTCCTTGTTGTAAGTTACCATTATAGTAAAATTGGTCTTACTCGTGACGGAGAGCTTGGTAACGGGGGACGTAGATCATTGCATTGGATCGAACCTCCATAACATATCGTTTGCACTCTCTATCCATTTTACTTATCGCTTTTATATTTGTGCTTATTATTTGAATTAATCTATTTAGTCTTTACTTGCTTGAATTTAGATTAAATCTTCGAAAAAGTTTTAATAACTAATTCACCCCCCTCTTGGTTAGTTATTCTGGGGCTGATAGATATCATATCTAGACTACGTGCACCCGATTGGTTTAATAGATTTTTCTTGGACAATGCTATGAAAATGCTAGGCTATTTTGAGAAAATGAAGTATGTTTATAAGATTGAAAAGAAGAGATTGAGCGATGCATCGTTCTGGCTGGCGAAAGATGCAAACTTTATGAATGTAGTTAGGTTGCTTGTTGAGAAGAGGCTTGCTGAGATGTGGTGTATGCCCATAGTTAAAGTGTTGGAATTGCCATGGGACAACAAAGTAATGCATGATATTTCGGTAGTTGATGTTGACACTAGTGAGGTGTTGGAGGGGGTGGAAAAAAAAAAGGAAAACAAGATGTTGACAAAAAGTTTGTGTAACACCCCTAATATTTTAGAATAAAAAATTTATTTGTTCTATATATTATATTTTATTATTTTGAAAGTTGAGAGATTAAAGTGATATATGTATTAACTTCGATTTTGGGCTACATTTTTTAGATATTGTTAAAGCGACTGAAAGTATATCAATATGAGTTTCGTTGGATAGGTCGTTTTTAATCATGTAAATTAGGCTCAAGAAAAAGTCAATTTGAATAAGCGAGGCCCAAGTTATCGGGTCGAAAGATTTTGCCTTAAATTGTAATTTATTATTTATTATTTTTTCAAAATCAAAGTTAATTGTGATGGATAGCCAAGTGA